AGTAGTGCTAAATGTTTTATTGTTATGATTATCATATAACAAACATGTCATTACATATTTATTGTTTAATTTAATTCTTACAAAATCCTATGAGAGAGAGAATACCTCCTTCCTACAGATGAAGGAAGTGGGCTCAGCAAAGTCCACGACCTGTCCATATTCTCTAGGGAACACTGACGATTTTAGGATGGCTTTAGGAAGGCAGTAAATCTAACCAGACACCGAGAGCTTGAGAGAGACCTCATTCAGTTAGGGTGAGTCAAGTGAGAAAGAATGGCAAATGTGGTGACGCAGTGAGATACGAAGAGTGTCACCTGACGGCAAGATGCATGTCCTTGGTCCCGGTGGAAAGTGCAGCTTGTGTGTGAGTGGCGGACGAGGAACCAGTGACAGACACTCAGTCAATCAAGCGCTATGGAAGGACCAAGTTCAAGTCAATGATTTTGCTTTGACACGAGAAGCAAATGGAAGAGATTCTGGGCTTTGGGGAAGAATGAGCAGATCGAAACAAGACTGGAGGAAGGTAATCTGGTGAGGCAAGATTCTAAAGAGCCTGGCGAAGATCTGAGTAAGCGGCTACGGAGGAGCGTGGAGAGAGTCTCACACCAGGTTCTGCTATAAAAACAGAGCAGAGAAACCAGGGGTGCCTTTTCCATGGATGATAAACACACTCAACAAAGGTAAATCAACCTTTCTCTTGATGACATGTTAACCTGAGGGATGTAGGCTGGTAGTCCTTTTAATACTTTCAACCACCACCTGGAGAAGGTAGTAATCTCGCACACAATCATTATGTTTGTTTCAGGCACATAAAAGGGGTCAGATCATCAAATGAGAAATATTGGTACTTATTCCCAGCTTGTCATATTCAGGCTGCCACCACATCCCAAGTGGAGTCTTCCAACTCAGTTGAGGGCATATGTGCTGATGTACCTTCTCTAAGGAGGACACTCTTCAAAGCCATTTAAATGACAAGTACCTTTGCACCAGAGCATATCCAACTGGATAGAAGTTGGAAGCCACACATCCATGTATGTGCTGGATTCCACATCCTGTCACACTCAGCCCCCCAGTTTCTGTGTTAATGGACAGATTCACATCAGAACTTAGTGCTTATGAGTTTCTTGGAAACCTTCAAAGCCTTGATGATGGTCTTTTAGGGAACATGAGTTGACAACCCTTTGTTTTGCTTCCTTTGGCAGCTGACAGAGTGGCCTTCATATAATTACTTCACTCCACCCTCCCAACCATCTCTGAAGCCAGACTTCTTACCCACATTCTACAGATGAACCCCTTTTGGCCACCCTTGCTAAAGAAATCTCTGGGAGTAGAGAACCGCTGCAGCTCCAGTGAAGTAAGGGGACAGAGAGAGGTCAGTCCTCTCCATCACACCAGCTGACTCTGGTTGGGCCTGAGCAGGCCCCGTCCATTCCTCTCCACTAATGGTGCGGGAGGACCCAAGGGTTTATAAGAATTAATCCCTGGTGGCAAATTATTTTCTGCCTTCTTTCCCATCCTTGACATTTTGTTTTTACTCAGCGCTTTTGTTGTAGGTTAAAGCCTCTCACAGAGATGGTTGTAAGGCAAGCCCTGGGGATTAGGGAAGTGGGGTGAGGGGTGGCCTTCAGGGGGTCTTCCAGTCCACTATTGAAATTCTCTCCCAGGCATCCACCATCCAGACACTCACTGGCTTTATAAACTACTTCTCTCAGGACTGAAATGCTCTCCCACAGTCAAGCCGGTCAGTCAGCTACACTCCACTATCAACCACTAGTTGTGTAATCATACAATTGTCCTCACATAATTAAGTGGCAGAAGTGCAGCTGATGATGGTCCCACTGAATGAATGCCAATTTGTCCACTGAGTGCCAATTTGAATTTTAAGGAAGGTATCGGGCTCAGTGACTGATTGCTGTGTAGATACCGCCCTAAAGCTCAGTGGCATAAAGTGACAGTTGTTCATTTCTTGGAGTTCTGTGGATAGGCAACGGGGCGGTTCTAGTCTTAGGTCAGATCACTCTGTTGTTACCGAACAAGGGTCCACTGCCAATGCACATACAGCATAACACCAGCTTTGGAGAGAAAAAAGGAGCTTTATTTGGGAGCTGAGACAAGAGACAAGGCTCAGATGTCGCTCCTGTTCCAGGACTCAGGGTGGGGGTTCAAGAGGTAGCAGTTGAGGGTTTACAAGTGTTACCTGTGAGTGGTGTTCACAAGTGTTGCTTGTGAGTGGTGTATCCGAGGTTGAAACGTTGGTTCCAGGTCTTGTTAGAAACAGAGCAGGACCAGGTTCTGCAGTTAACACTATGGCTGTGATCATGTTAGTTCAATAGAACTAGGGGGTCCAAGATCATGACTTCCTGCACATACTGGCAGTAGGCCTGGCGGTTGGCGAGGCCCCTCGGTCCTCCTCCACATGGCCTTTCATCTTCCCAAAGGCTGACCGGGCTTCTGCCCAGTCAGTGGCCTCAGGGTTCTAGGAGAGCAAGGTGACTGTTGCAAGACTGCTGAAGGCCCAACCACAGGAATTCACACCACGTCACTTTCTCTTCATTGGTCAAGGCAAGTCCCAGACAGCTGGTGCAAGGGATGGAGAGACTATCTCAGTGCCTGGGCAAGAAAGAGGTGGTTGAGGGACGTTTCAAGTTGGGGTAAGGGACTTTACATGAACAGAGGTGGGGTCACGGAAAGAGGAAGGAAAACCTTGTAGTCAGAGTCTTAAGAACAGCTGGGTGTTGCTGCAAGTGCACTGGGCACCTCACCTTAAGCACCACGGGAAAATAGGGTTTGCTTAGGAGGCTGCAAAGCTCAGTCCTTGCCCATCCGGGGCCATCCTACTCTCCCTGGCAGAACAAGGAAAATGCAGGGAGAGCCAAAAGGAGAAGGAAAAGAAATCACCTACTGCAACTTGGTGTGGGTGGGAAGCCAAAATGATGTTCTAAATATCCTCCCGAAAATCCACACAGGAACATACCCACACGCTGCCCTGTGTGGGCCGAGTGTTTCCGCTCTCTTCAAAGCAGATATTCTCGAATTCCACTCACTGGGAAGTTCCAGTGGCTCTTAGGTTCTCACTGTTTTTAGAGCAATACCGCCTCCGCTTTGGGTCTGTCCTTTTAAAAATGTTCTGCAAGAACTTACAACTTGTTCATGTCCTTTTACATTGAAAAGCCATCTCTTCATTGATGCTTCTTCAAAAGCTATTCACCATAATTTTCTGTATAGAGATGGTGGGCTTGGGGTGCTCTGCCCAGCATAACTGGGTCACATACTGGCAGGCTGGGGTGGGGGCCTACAACGTGCACCATTTTTATACTTACATGGAAGCGTATGTTTGGTAAGAAAACTAAACTTTCATAGTACAGTGGGGCCTTGACTTACGAGTGTCCCGACTAACGAGTTTTTCGAGACATGAGCCGTCTCTCAGATTTTTTGCTTTGAGTTGCGAGCTAAAATTCGGGTTACGAGCCAGCTTCAGATACCCCACCGCTAGTTGGCGCAGCGAACGTCACAGTGAACGCCACAACATCAGCCCAGCATCACGTGTCTCACTCGTTCACAATTGATTTGACATACGAGTAATTTGAGTTACAAGCTCCGTCACGGAACGAATTAAACTCGTAAGTCAAGGCCCCACTGTACTTTGGTTAGTCCTAAAGGGCTCCCTGGTAATAAAATATGCTGTACCTGTATAATCATCCACGCTACATTACCTACCTAAGTTTATTTTTTATTAAGATCATATTTGTAAAACGTCCCACAGGGAGCACCAGGAAGCCTCCAGGGCCCTGCATGGTCCCTAATGCAGGCGAGGACCCCAGTGCACACTCTGTAAGTGAAAGGATGATGATGAGCCTCCTCACAGGCAGAGGTGGGAGAACACCTGGGATCACTGTGAAAGGCATTATAACAGGAACAAGGCCTGATCCTTCCATCTAGACCAGCGGTTCTCAACCTGTGGGTCGCGACCCCTGAAAATACATCCTGCATATCAGATATTTACATTACGATTCATAACAGTAGCAAAATTACAGTTATGAAGTAGCAACGAAAATAATTTTATGATCGGGGGTCACCACAACACAAGGTACTGTATTAAAGGGTCGCGGCATTAGGAAGGTTGAGAACCACTGATCTAGACCCTAAAGAGTCTGAGCAGTCAACCTCTGGTCTTTCCCACCACACAGCTTCCTCTTCAGTGTCATTGGAGGGGTGACTCTCTGAACTGGTGCGAATGAGGCAACCCTCTTCTGCACCAGCCATCAATTCCTTCTTTTTAAATTTAGTCTATTTTATTATTGAATTTTCCCCGTTGTTAAGTATATGGAAAAAAAATTGGTTGAGTTTTCTAATGCAAACCCAAAGGAAAAATGACCTTGAATACTGGTATCACAATATGTAGGAGGTATAGGGACTACCCATCTCATGGTTTTGAACTTTGTGGTTAAAGACTTTGAGAGCTGACAGATTACTCAGGGATTTGTCAAGAGTATTAATTACAAACTTTGAAATCTTGGTCAGCGAAAGTTCATCACGGTGCCTCTTGCAAATATGATCAAAGTCTTTTCGGTACTGATTTGATGGTGCTTAACCACAGTGCATAAAGAATGAAGGTTTTCATTAGAAATTACTGATGTAATAGAGTACATTTGAAAGGAGGAGGTACTGTATTGTGGGACTATGAAAATTCATGCTCGTCCCCCATGCCACCCTCACCCCAGTTTTGGACCGCCCACTCCCCTTCTCTGAACACTTGGAATTGCGTTTGGGACTGCTGCCAAGGAACTGTGGTCCAACAGCCTCAGTGTCGCTCCAGGGATGACCACTCCCAGGAGGGCAAAGGTGTGGCTGGTTAGGTGATGTGTTTAAAACCATAAAAGTAAACCATGAAAACCTGGGGTGAACTGTAATTTGGTGAAAGAAATTTACAGCTGACTGAAAACGGGAAAAAGAGAGAATAGTGTGTAGCTGGTTAATGGAAAGGGAAGCCATTGTTTACTGTTAGAAAAGCAATCTATTATTTTTGGTAGCTTTGGGGGGGGGAGGAGGGAGGGGTGCAATAAAAATGCACTGGCATCTAAACCCTGGAAAATGAAACAAAATACACCCACTGCAGCGTCTCCAAAATCACTGGACTGCACCTCCCCCTCCTTTCCGCTGGGATGTCTTATCCTGCCTTCCAGTGGTTGTAGAAGATGCGGGAAGGTGGGGAGGCCTTGGAGGGTTCCTTGGCGCTAACTGCAGGAGGTGGATTTCCAGCAGCTGCCAAGGGAAGACGCACAGTTGCCAATGCCCACCCCCCTCCCCCCCAGCCCAGCAGTCAACCACTGCTTGGCATTTTAGGAGCTGTGGCCTGTTGCCACCCTAGGGGTGGGGGTGGACGTAGGGGGAGACACGGGAGGTGGAGGTGGGGGTCGGGGAGGGACGTGCTGCTGGGGAGAACCCACTTGCCTCTGAAGTTCAATGGCTCTTAAGTTCTACCAGTTCACTTGCCTGTGAGCGCCAGAGGGTGGCACTCCAGGCACTATGGAGGGGACCCGAGGGAGGAGGAGGCTGCAGGAGTGGGCAGAGGGGGGAGGGGGAGTAAATTCTCAGTCTCTGGTCTGGAGCTCCCAGCTGATTTGGAGCCCACCCCCACCCTTTTAAGGAATAAGTGGGCTTCTGCCAGACTAGGTGTCACCGAGTTAAGAATTCCTAAGATGAAAAAGGCTTTGAGGGTTATTCAAAATCGAAGGTATTTACCCTGCTGGTCCCAGGAAATCCGGGTGCTGGGGGTGGGCGTCCAGCCACTGTGAGTGAGCCGGCATCTGACCTGATCCTTTGTGTCCTGTTTTGCAGTTGCTGGACTTGTGTGACCCCGTGAAGGATGATGCCCTGAGGGTGATCTCTGCCTTTACCATTCCGCACACCTATCTGCATAGCAATCGCTGGAATCGCCAACCCCCGGGCCACCTGGGCCTTCTACCCTGCGCTGCAGCAGCCCCAGGCCCAGGAAAGGGCGCGCTCTAGGGGGCCCACACCCAGAGCCAGGTTGTAGCGGATGCAGGGGCAGGATGGTGGTTCGCTTGCATTTGCCACCCACACTGCTTCTCTGACTCTCAGAGCTGGAGCAGAGGCCGGGCCACTGAGCCCAGTCCCGGCAAGGCTGGTGAGACTCACCGGGCTGTCTGAAAGGGGGTGCACGCAGTGCTGTGCCTCTCCCTGTTACCCGACCACCCATGCCACCTCTCCAGCTTCGGGGGAACCCCCACGGCTGGTGCAACCCAAG